CTTAACCAGGTGGTCTGGGGGTGCTCTTTGCCTGCTCTCAGCCCCTTTCCACCCTCAGCCCAGTGAATGTGTGGTTGAAGGACTGGGTGTTTATTGAAATACCTCCACTTCTGTCTGTCCATGACTAGATGCGTGGACATGAACTAGTCCATGACTAGTTCTTGCAGGCTGCTATAACAAAATGCCATAGGCTATGTAGCTTATGAACAACAGAAATTTATTCCTTACAGTTCTGGAGGTTAGAAGTCTCAGATCAGGGTGCCAGCATGGTCAGGTTCCAGTGGGATCTCTTCCAGGTTCAAAGCTGGTGACTTCTCTTGCTGTGTTCTCATCTGGTAGAAAGGAGGAAGAATCTCTCTGGGGTCTCTTTGATAAGGACACTAATCCGATTCATGAGGGCTCTACACTCATGACCTATTCACTTCCCAAAGGCCCCACCTTCAAATACCACCACCTTTGGGGATTAAGATTTCAACATATGAATCTTGGGGGAAAACAAACATTCAGAACAGTGTAATGGGGAAATGAGGGAGAGGAAAAGGAAACTTCCCTCCCTTTTTACTAGATAGGGCTAAGAAGTACTGCACTCCTGCATGAACCTAGAGTGTTATGCTAAGTGAAAACAAGTCAGACAGAGAAAGACAAATACCATATGATTTCACTTATTTTTGGAATCTAAAAAACAAAAATGAACAAACAAAAACCCAGATAGACTCTTAAATACAGAGAACAAACTGGTGGTTGCCAGAGGGAGGTGGGTGGAGGAAAGGACAAAATAGATAAAGGGGATTAAGAAATATGAACTTCCAGTTGTCAAATAAATGAGCCACAGAGATGAAAAGTATAGCATAGGGAATATAGTCAATAATATTGTAATAAACTTGTATGGTGACAGATGGTGACTACACTTATCTTAGTGAGCATTGAGTAATGTATAGAATTGTTGAATCATTATGTTGTACACATGAAATGAATATAACATTGTATGTTAATTATACTTCAATATAAAAATAAATTAAAGTTAAAATTAAAAATAACAACAAAAAGAAAGGCAAAGTGAGAAAAAAAGGAGGACATCAAGTCATTTGTAGTACTTCATCCTTCATTTAATTTCAGCTGTCTGATCCAAGGCTGGATTATCAATAAAACTGTACATGTAAATGGTGATGTGGTTTTGGAGTGGTGGGGTTCAGAGCCAATGGCCAAGTAAGAATTCTTGAGATGTTTTTAGTGCAAAAATTGTTTTATTATGGCATGGGGACAGGACCCATGGGCAGAAAGAGCTGCAATGTGGTTGTGAGGAGTGACTGATTATATAAGATTTTCTATCCTATGGAGGGGAGAATGAGGTTAGGGTTCCAGGAAATTGAGTCTATAGGTTTCTGGAGATTGCTCTTTTCTTGTAAATCATTAAGACAGGTGCAAACTGATGGAGACTCATGTCCTACTTGACTGTGATCTCTATCAGTTAACCATTTGTTTTTCCTTTTCTTTGTTCTTGGGCAGCCAGGAGTGCCTGAGGAATGTCACACATATCTCACCTGGGGAGTAATATTCCATTGTATTATTCACCCATCAGAAAGGATGAATACTTACCATTTACATCGATGTGGATGGAACTGCAGGGTATTATACTGAGCCAAATAAGTCAATCAGAGAAAGACAATTATCATATGGTTTCACTCATATGTGTAATATAAGAAACAGCACAGAGGATCATAGGGGAAGGTAGGGAAAGCTAAATGGGAAGAAATCAGAGAGGGAGACAAACTATGAGAGATTCTTAACTATAGGAAACAAACAGGGTTGCTGGAGGGGAGGTGTATGCGGGGATGGGGTAATTAGGTGATGGGCATTAAGGAGGGCACATGATGTGTTGAGCACTGGGTGATGAATTATTGAACTCTACATCTGAAACTAGTGATGTACTATATGTTGGCAAATTGAAATTAAAAAAAAATCTCACCTGGGAGTAGGGTTGTGGGGTGTTAGCTTGTGCTTTGCCCTCAGCTTTCCTTTTGCTCCCTAATTGATGGCATCAGCAAAGCAGTTTAAAAATTTGATCAAAATAAAAGAATTGAAGCGGTCATCATGGGAAAAACCTGAGCCATGTTGCTGTTTGATACTGTTTTTATTTGAATTACATATGAAGGTTGAGATAGGAAACCACACTTTTTTTTTCAGTAATTATAAGTATTAAAGACCTTGAACTGATTTGAAAATACCTAAGGACCTAGAATTGAAAATGTCTCTGAGTTGGCACTCAGCCCTTATTTTTTACTTATACACTCTTAGAATAGCCACCTTGGTTTTATTTCTCAGATTAAATATAATAAATGAAAGGCATTGAGAAGTGAAGAAATTTCTAGGTGATTTCCTCTGACAACAGATGTGACAGCTGAGCTTGGGAATGATGAGGGGATGGCAAAGCTACTAACAAAGGCAGAATTCAACAAGCACAGCAGTTTTGGACCATTTATGACAGGTGTTAAATTGCACCACCCACCTCTACAGTATCATAGAATAGCACAACATCAAAGGAAGGTTACATTTTATTGAGAATACTCAGTTCAATCACAGAAAAAAGTTCTATACATTATTCTTTTAATGGTAGAAATAACATTTAAAAATCATTTATAGGGTGCTTTAGATTTTATGAAAAATAAACTTACATATAGTATCTTATTTATTAAGAAATCCAGGTTAATATACATTAGAATAATATTGTCCATTTGGTGAGGAGAAGTAACCAAGGAAGGATTTCTGTAGAACACAGAAGACAAGACATACTTCGGGTTCCATCTCCAATCTGTGATGCTTGCTGTCTAGAAACCTGCCAGCACTGTTCTTCCCTTTAACTCCGTGCTTTCTGCTTTGCTTCTTAAGTTTTTGTGCCTACACCCATCTGATATTAAACCCACTGAAGCAGGAGGGCTAGGTTCTTGCCTCACAGAGTCAAAGAATGAATCTCCCAGACAATAAAATGATAGAGTTTTATTAAGCAAGGATACAGAAAGAGCTCTCATGAGTGAGAGGGATCTGGACAGGGTTGCCAACATGGGTCTCCACTGACAGTCTTTTATTTAGAGCTGACCAAGGAGCTTGTGGTCTTAACATTCTTATGACATCTTGGTTTGAGTAAGGACTGGTGATAACATCTTTAATGGCTTACTTCTTTTCTAGGGTTTGGTTATTCTTTGTTGGTCATAGGTGACTATCATAAAAAAAGACACACACACACCCAAAACCTAGGGCAGGGTGGTCTGTTTTGTTCCCTTAGCTCTCGTTTCCTTACACCTCTACATTTTTGGAATTTCTGTGAACCTGACCACATAGCTCCCTACCTATCTCTCCCAATCTAGCCCTGCCCTTACTCACCACTACCAGACCAGCAGTCCTATTTGTGGCTGGCTTCTCCTCTTGGCAGCTCAAGGAAAACTCTCTGGAGGGTCAAGTTTTGCGTTTTCCAGAAGATGCAGCCCCTCCCAGTGGGTCCTGAGCAGCCCTGCTCTGTGGATTTAAGGAGCTTACTTCTTTCTTCTCTCTCATCACACATCCTTTTAAGTTACTCTCCAACTTAGCAAGGACTTATGTTCAGAATTTGCTTCTTTTTTAAGTTTTATCTTTAGCTATTAAAATGGATGAACTTACCAATTTTATTTCTATATTGTCACTGGGATGCCACTTTTCAATATCTGGCATCTTTCATGTGGCTAACAGTAGGGTGAAATTTTCCAGTGACAGCATCTGCCTCTTACTCATCTGTGGAAGGAGTTACAATGTTCTTCATCAGTCCATGGCTTGAATCCCAGTAATAGCACTGTTCTTGAAGTGGTGTTTTGGTTTTGGTTCCCCCCACAGTCCCAAATCACGGCAAATACACACACACATGTACACACACTCTAATTATTCTACAAATTATCTATTGGGGCTTGGGGTCTCTTTTCTTTTACCCCTACATTCAGACAAATACACAAAGAATGGTTATACTTTCTTCAAATAGTCACAATTTTCCTCTGGCCTTTATTTCCACATAGAAACCAAATGTATTAAATTTTTATTTCCTCCTCTGAAATTTCATGCTTCTAAATCATGAGAGTTTTAGCCAGGAAATGATTTTAAGGCCAGTGGAATACTACATGAGCAAAGACTAACAGACAAGTTTCCTTTTATTGGAAATGCAAAGCTGCTTATTTGACATTTATAATTTATACCCTACTTGTTTCTAAAAAGATTTGAGATGGGGTGCCTGGGTGGCTCAGTCTGTTGGGTGTCTGACTCTTGATCTCAGCTCAGGTTTTGATCTCAGAGTCGTGAGTTCAAGACCCATGCCCAGTGTGGAGCCCACTTAAAAAAAAAAAAAGATTGAAAAAGAGATTTGAGATGGCATACAGTAAAACAAGCACACAGGAAGGAGGGAGGGAGAGCAGGGATTCTGTGTGGTAGGGCAAGATAGGCAAAATTCAGTTGCAGTAATTTATTGGCACCTTTGGCTTACTTACAAAGACATTGTAGTTTGTGCCCGGAGTACTTGTCCTGGCAATTTAACTTCTAGAAATTGATTACTACTCAAAAACTAATGATGTATTGTATGGTGACTAACATAACATAATAAAATAAAATTTAAAAAAAAAAGAAATTGATTACAATGACCTCCAGCTTGGAAAGGCAATCCCAGCAAGAGGCTTGCTAGATATCTATAGAAGAACAAGTTTTTACCTTAGCACAAAGCTCTCAAACTTGTATTGTTTTCTGAGTTTTGTATTCTGTCATTCTTTTTAATACATTATTTTATCTCTCTACTTATAAAAGTTGTACCTACAGCAAGACTCTTCACACATGACTAAGTTATTACAAACACTAGTTAGTGGGATAATCCTCGTGCACATTAAAGAAGGAAAAGGGACAGTTGGAAAGTATTAGCATTTGTTGGTGTGTCATGTTATTCTGTCACTTGACAGTATTAACTCCATGGCTCTTAAAATCAGGGACCAATAATTCTACTGGTACCTGCTACAGAAGATCATCTTTTTAAATGCATCCCTGAGTTCTGGGCTCCGGAAGGCATATATAAAGGGGTCAATGACTGCATTGCACATGATCAACATGCCATTCACCTGGAAGAGGGACATGTAGCAGGCACAGTAAGGGTTATTTGGGCAAAACGTCATTAACAGGACATGAAGGACAAAGGGGGCCCAACAGAAGATGAAGACCCCAAGCAGGATGGTCAGCGTGATGGCCCCTTTCATGTTGGCTCTGGGAAGGGTCAAGATCTTCCTGGCATGGGAACGGGCAAGCAAGAACATGTGCACATAAAGGCACAGGATAAAGACCAACATCAGAGGGAACAGCGACGTGAAGGTGATCACTGTGGGGATGTGATGAGAGAAGATCACCATGGTAATGGCACTGCCTGTGCAGCCAGTCCAGGTGACCATTAGGACAACAGTGGCACGGCGCATGGTCACAATGCTGTGGTATTGCAGAGCATGGAAGATTGTGAGGTAGCGGTCAGCTGCTATCATGGACAGGCTGAAAATGGAGCCAAGGAGGGAGAGGATGAACAGGGAGTCGATAATATCATCTGCTGTGGTTTCAAAATTGCCACGAGGCTTGAGATAACCCATGTTTCTGAACATGATCAGGATATTTTCCAGGATCTTATATAGGCTGCCCAACATATCAGAAATGGCCAAGCTGCAAATGAAAAAGTACATGGGTGACTGGAGATTCTTATTCTTGATCACAGCCAGAAGGACCATCAGATTTTCCAAAACTCCGATAATGGATATTATAAAAAATATCTCTTCTGGCAAAACCACATGAGGACAGTCTGAATTATTTCTTCCTGTATCATTGATGTTTTCATATAGATTGATAATGTGCTTCATTTCTCCCACTAGTGGTTAAGACAAGGGTGTTACTTTGACTTGACAGAATGCTTGATTGATCTTCAGAATATTTTCTTCTTTGTAGTACTTGCTGGAAGTCTGAGGTAAAAACCACCAGGCCACCTAAAGAATATATAGCAACATCAGTTGCAAAATAGTCTAAATAAAATAAAAACTAAGTCATATTATCTTTAAGAAAGCTCTATTGCTTCTATGAAATATGATGGTGTAGTATTTAAATAAAGCAGTTTACTGGACCCTCATTTTAACTTCTCTACATCTTTAGTGGAATTTTAAGCCCAGAGATAAAAATAAAGATTGTCCTTTGTCCTCTCCCCTTTCTACACCCCATCCTTCTTCTCGTGAATCCAACTGTGTGTGAGATAGATTAAATGAGATAGATTAAAATGAAAAAAAAGAAGTAAAAGAAATGAAAGGCGTGTGTAGAAAAAGGAAACACACAACTACCCTTCTCTGATTTGGAGGTGGTGCCTGGATCCAGTGAATTAATGAGATGTTTAGGTCCTTTCTATTTTACTGTTTGTCTTTCTGGATCACTGCCGACCCTACAGCTAATGGCATAATGGCAATAATATTGATGTACCATCCCCCAAATACGTGTTATTATTTCTGTTTCAAAGATAGAACTCACAAAAATGGTATTTCTGGAGACTCCCAATAATTTCAAAGTGTTGGAGTTGAATTATGGCACCAGAAGATCCAGTTTCCCTCAAGCAGAAGGGGCTGAGTAGATCATAATTGAACAACTCTGAGAAGTCTGCTTCTGGTGAGAGTTTGTGGAATTTTTACTGTTTTAGTTTCCAGATGACTGGACACAGGCAGTTTTATGAAATGTGTAAAATTTGCCTTTGCTGAGGTGGTGGTTTTAAAGGTATGATCACAGATTTTTTTATACTTTTCCCTTCAAGAGATGGAGTTTAATTACCCTTCACTTGAGTGTGTGGGAAGCCAGTGGCCATGTTGTAAGGTGGTCCTGGAGAGAGTGAATCTGGGAGTGTAGCTTCTTTTTTTTTTTTTTTAAGATTTTATTTATTTATTTGTCAGAGAGAGAGACAGACAGCATAAGAAGGGAGAGGGGCAGAGAGAGAGAATGAGAAGCAGACTCCCCACTGAGTAGGGAACCTGATGCAGGGATCCATCCAGGACCCTGGGATCATGACCCAAGCCCAAGGCAACCGCTTAACCTACTGAGCCACCCAGGCATCCCTAGGAATGTAGCTTTTGAACAAAAGTTCACAAGGCACACATTACTATATTATAGTGACGTTTCTCCTAGAAAGGACCTAATTTCATTACAAAGGACTGAGATCAGAGGTCAAGTATTAAGGTGAAAGTTTATGAGTTAGGTAGGTCAATGTCAAGAAAGTAGTGAAGTGACAGGTGATAGCAACTGATAAGGTTCTACCTAGGCTAACCACCTTGTCTCTGTTTGCCTGGGACTGAGAGGTCAGTGTCCCTGGCATCTTCCTCAGCCCCAGGCAAACCAGGATGCTTAGTCACACTAGTTCCACCTACTTAGGCCCTGGGAAGTCTGTATCCTGTCAGTGTACACTCATGTGTCTACATCTGTTGGAAAGGGTGGGGCCAATGATGGTTAATTTTATGTGTCAACTTGATTGGGCCCCAGGTGGCCTATATTTGTCAAACATTACTCTGGGTATATCTGTGAAGGTGTTTTCAGGTGAAATTAACACTTGAATCAGTAGACTGATTAAAGCAAGTTGCCTTCCCCAGCAGGCCTTACCTAATCTGTTGAAGGCCTGAATAGAACAAAAAGCCTCCCATGAGTAAGGGGGAACTCCTTCTGCCTGACTGCTGAGATGGGTCATTGGTCTTTTCCTGCCTCTGGACTCAAACAGAAACATCAGCTTTTCTTGGGTCTTGAGGCTGCAGGCTTCCTGACTGGAACTACACCATCAGGTCTCTTGGGTCTCCAGCTTGTGGACTGTAGATCTTGAAACTTCTCAGCCTCTATAATAGTGTGAGCCTATTTCTTATAACTGCTCTCCATCTATCTATCATCTATCTATCAATCTATCTATCTATCATCATCAGCTATCTATCATCTATCATTTATCATCTATCTATCATCTGTCTATATCTATCATCTTCTGTTGGTTCTGCTTCTCTGGAGAACCAAGTAATGCAGGGCCCAAGGTTGTGTCCACCATGAACTGCCTGTGGAGATGCTGTCTGTAAAGAGACTTCTGTCTTCTACCTGAGTGCATTAAGTGTGATCAAATTTGGTATATATATTCATTTTTTTTAAATTAAAGTGTTGTTGACATACCATATTATATTAGTTCCAGGTGTACAGCATAGTGATTCAACATTTATATATATACAAGGCAATTACTACAATAAATCTAATTACAGTAACAGTTGTTACATATTACTGACTATATTCCCTATGCTATACATTGTATCCTTGTGTCTTATTTAGTTTATGAATGGAAGTTTGTACCTTGTAGTCCATTTTCCCTATTACTCCCCTTCCCCTCTGTCAGCCACCAGATTATTCTCTGTATCTGTTTTGTTTCGTCTGTTTGTTTTTTCAGATTCCATACGTAAGTGAAATCATACAGTATTTGTCTTTCTTTGTCTGATTTATTTCACTTAGCATAATGCCTCCTAGGCTCATCCATTTTGACACAAACAGCAAGATTTCATTCTTTTTTTATGGCTGAGTAAGATTGTATTTTCTCTCTCTCTCTCTTTCTGCTACATCTTTATCCATTCATCTATTGATGGGCACTTAGGTTGCTTTTGTATCTTGGCTATTGCAAATAATGCTGCAATGAACATAGGAGTACATGTATCTTTTCAAATTAGTGTTTTCATTTTCTTCAGATAAATACCAAGAGTGGAACTGCTGGATCATATGGTACTATTATTTTTAATTTTTTGAGGAAACTCCATAATGTTTTCCATAGTGGCTGCACCATTTTGTATTCCCATCAACAGTTCAGCAGTGTTCCTTTTTCTTCACATCCTTGTTAACATTTGTTATTTCTTTTTTTTTTTCACACTAGCCATTCTGTGAGGTGTGAGGTGATATCTCATTGTGGTTTTTATTTGCATTATCCCGATGATTAGTGATGTTGAGCAGTTTTTCATGTGTCATTTGATCATCTGCATGTCTTCTTTGGACAAAAGTCTATTCAGGTCCTCTGCCAAATTTTTAATTGGATCGTTTGCTTTTTCATATTGAGTTATGTGAGTTCTTTATATATTTTGGATATTAATGCCTTTTGGTTATATCATTTGCAAATATCTTCTCCCATTCAGTAGGTTGCCTTTTCCTTTTGTTGATGGTTTCCTTTGCTGTGCAAAAGCCTTTTCATTTGATGTAGTTCTATTTCTTTATTTTTGCTTTTTTGTCCTAGCCCTAGAAGACAGATCAAAAAAATATATTGTTTAGACCAATATCTAAGGGCTTGCTGTCTAATTTTCTTCTGACAGTTTTATGGTTTCTATTCTTACATGTAAGTCTTTAATTTATTTTGAGTTTATTTTTGTAAATGGTATAAGAAAGTAGTCCAGTTTCATTCTTTTACATATAGCTGTCCAGTATTCCCAATACCATTTATTAAAGAAACTTTATTTTTCACACTGTATATTCTTGCCTCCTTTGTCAAAGATTAACTGATTCATATAAGTGTGGGTTTATTTCTGGACTCTGTTCTGAGTTCCATTGATCTGTGTGTCTTTTGTGTGTGTGTGTCAGTACCATAGTGTTTTGATTACTATCATTTTGTAGTATGGTTTGAAATCAGAAAGTGTGATAACTCCAGCTTTGTGCTTTCTCAAGATTGCTTTAGCTATTTGGGTCTTTTTGTATTTCCATACAAACTTTAGGATTCTTTGTTCTAGTTCTGTGAAAATTGCTGTTGGTATTTTGATAGGGATTGTGTGGAATCTGTAGATTGCTTTAGGTAGTATAGACATTTTAATAATATTAATTCTTCTAATCCATGAGCATGGTATATTGGTATGTTCTTTCATCATGGTATATTCTTTTATCTATGTTTCATAGTTTTCAGAACATAGGTCTTTCACCTCATTGATTAAATTTATTCTTTTTTTTTTTTAAGATTTTGTTTATTTGACAGAGAGAGACACAGCGTGAGAGGGAACACAAGCAGGGGGACTGGAAGAGGGAGAAACAGGCTTCCTGCAGAGCAGGGAGCCTGATATGGAGCTTGATCCCAGGACCCTGGGATCACGACCTGAACCGAAGGTAGATGTTTAATGACTGAGCCACCCAGGTGCCCCCAGGTATTTTTTTTTATACAATTTTGAATGACATTGTTTACTTCATTTCTCTTTCTGATGGTTTATTAGTGTATAGAAATACCACAGGTTTATGTATATTAATTTTGTATCCTGCAACATTACTGGATTAATTTATTAGTTCTAATATTTTTTGATGGAGTCTTTAGGGATGTATATATGTAGGGATAGATATATATGTATCACCTGAAATAGTGACAGTTTTACTATTTTTTCAATTTGGATGCCTTTTATTTCTATTTCTTCTCTCATTGCTGTAACTAGGCTTCTCAATACTATGTTCAATAAAAGTGGCAGGACTGGATATTCTTGTTTTGTGGTATCTGATCTTAGGGGAAAAGCTTTCAGCTTTTCACCACTGAATATAACATTAGCTGTGGGTTTGTGATATGGTATTCTCTTCTATATCCACTTTGTTGAAAGTTTTTAATCATAAAATGAATATTGAATTTGATAAGATGCTTTTTCTGCATCTATTGAGATGATCATATAATTTTTATTTTTATTTTTATTAATGTGGTAAATCACTTTGGCTGATTTGTGAATGTTGGACCATTCTTGCATCCTTGGAATAAATCCCACTTGGTCATGGTGTATGATCCTTTTATTGTATAGTTGAAGTTGGTTTGCTAATATTTTGTTAAGGATTTCTGTATCAATGTTCATCAGGGATATTGGCCTATAATTTTCTTTCTTTGTGTTGTCTTCAGTTTTGGTATCAGGATAATACTGGCCCCATAGAATGAGTTTGGAAGCATTCTTCCTTCTTCAATTTTTTGGAATAGTTTGAAAAGAATAGGTAT